GCTGAACTTGTTCATTAGTTTATTAATCTAATAGTTTTTACTGAGTCCTTAGGACTTTCTATATACAAGATCATGTCATCTGCAAATAAATATAGTTTTACTCGTCCTTTATAATTCAGATGCCGTTTGCTTCTTTTGTTTGCCTAATTGCTCTGTCTAGAACTACTAAAAGGCTGATTGGAAGTGGTGAGAGTGAACATTTTTTGTCTTGTTTCTGACCTCAGGGAGAAAGCATCCAGTCTTTCACCATTAAATACAATATTGTGGGTTTTTTGTAGATGCCCTATATCAGATTCAGGAACTTTGCTTCCATTCCTAGTTCATATTACACAATGTTCCTCTTTATCTCTGACAATTTTTCTTGTTTTGAACTTTGCTCCATCTGAAATTACTATAGCTCCTCTAGCTTTCTTTTGATTTGTGTTACCATTGCATATCTTCCTCCTACCTTTTACTTTTAATTTATTTGTGTCTTTATTTTTTTTCTAATTCACTCTGCCAGTTTGTCTTTTAATTGGAATATTTAGGCCACTCACATTTAAGGTGATTATTAATAAATAGTTAATACCTACCATATTTGAAAAGGCTTTCTATTCATTGCACTTGTTTTTTTCTTCTACTCTTTTTCTGCCTTCTCTGGTTTTAATTGAGCATTTTATGTGATTCCAATTTCTCTCCTCTCTTAGTGTACTAATTATACTTAAAAAAAATTCTTTTTAGTGGCTGCCCTAGGGTTTTTAGTATACATTTACTACTTATTTAAGTCCACTTTCAAATGATACTATATCACTTCATGGGTAGTGTAGGTAGCTTATAATAGAATATTCCCACTTCTTCCCTCCTTTCCCTTATAACATGCTGTCATTCAACTATCCATAGGGCATAATCATCCAACATATTGTTGATACATTATTTTGTACAATTATCTACTTGGTCAATTAAGAATAAGAAAATAAAAGGTTTTGTTTTACCTTCATTTATTCTTTCCTTAATGCTCTTCCTTTCTTTATACACATCCAAATTTCTGACCTATACCATTTTCCCTCCCTCTGAAGAACTTCCTAAACATTTCTTTTAAGGGAGATCAACTGGCAGCAAATCGCCTCAGTTTTTGTTTGTCTGAGATCTTTATTTCTCCTTCACTTTTGAAGGATAATTTCACTGGATACAGAATTCTAGGTTGATGATTTTTCTTTCAACATAAAAATTTCATTCCAGTCTCCCCCTGCCGGAAGCAAGGGGACTTTTCCTCTAATCTTCACAGTGAGAAGCCTGTGAGGATCCTAGAGGTAAACTCACAAATTATGGGTCCCCCTAAGACTGTGCCCCCTGGAATTTTTTACTCTCAAGCTAGACAACAATGAGCCTCCAGCAATTTCTCAGTTACAGTGTAAGTGTGCCTACCTGTACTGACTCCAGTAGTGGGCTTCTGCTCCCAGTAAGCCATAATTCTCTGTATATGCCTTTCTTTCCAGTTTTGGGGGCAGTAGTTTGCCTTGTGACCTCAATTCTCTGATATATCTAAGAAGAGTTGTTGTCTTTCAGTTTGTCAGCTTTTTGCTTGTTGTGAAGACGGGAGTGAGGGCTTCCAAGATCTTTTTATGCTGGTGTGAAAATTAAAAGTCCTCCAACTATTATTGTTGAATTGTCTAATTTCTCCCTCTATTTCTGTCAATTTTTTACTTCGTGTATGTACTTTAGTACTCTGTTGCTAGGGGCATATATGTTTATAATGGTAATATCTTCCTGATAGACATACCCTTTTATCATTATAAAATGTCACTCTCTCTCTAGTAAAATTTTTTGTTTTAACATCTATTTTTTCTAACATTAGTGTAGGCACTCTAGCTTTTTGTGGTTGTTGTTTGTATATCTTTTTTCATTCTTTTACTTTCAATCTATTTGTATCTTTACATCTAAAGTGTATTTCCAGTAGACAGTATATAGTTGGATCATGTTCTTTTTATCCAGTCTTATAATCTCTGTCTTTTGATTGGATCATTTAATTCTTTCACATTTAATGTTATTATTGATAGATGGGGATTTACATCGGCCATTTTACTTTTTGTTTCTATATGTCTCATGTCTTTTTCATTCTTCTAATTGTTCTTTTCTGCTTTCTTTTGCATTAAGTGAATATTTGCTAATGTAGCATTTTAAAATCTTGAATGACTTTTTCACTATTTTTTTAAAATTATTTCCTTGTGGTTGCTCTAACCAGTTGCTGTTGAGTTGATTCCCACTCATGGTGACCCCATGTGTGTCAGAGTAGAACTGTGTTCCACTCGGTTTTCAATGACTGATTTTTCAGGAGATTGCTAGGCTTTTCTTCTAAGGTGCCTCTGGGAGCATGTAGTTCTCCAATGATTCGGTTAACAACTGAGCACTTTAACCATTTGCACCACCCAGTGGTTGCTCTGGGGCTTACCATATACATTATAACTTGTCAGAATCAGCTTCAGGTTTATAAGAACTTAATTCTAGTGAGCAACAAAAATATAACTCCTATCTAGCTCTACTCCTGTTATCCCCCTTTTGTGGTACTGTAACACATATTACATCTATATGCTCATGGTCACCCTGGCATGACAGTGGTTTTGGCAGAGCTCTCTTTTACTGTCTCTTTCATTAACCATAGCCAGATAATTGTTGGCTATCCCTAATTGTTGGCTGATTGCTCCATTGTTTTTAATAATACCTTGGAGCATAAATTGCTTCACAGACTGAGATAAGTGTTTGAGATTTGTTCTGAACCCTGGAGGGCTCTTTCCAGCTATCTTTTACCCATTCTCTCCCACAAACCTAGCCAACCTACAGATTAGCCTATACTTCCAATGATTCTATCAATTTCTTGCCAGTTGCCTTTTCACCATAACCTCCGCTGTTTTTGAGAGCACCCTCAGGCTTGAATTTCTCCATGCACTGTTGCCAAAAAGTTAGTTCCTTTGGGGAGATTTTGAGCTCCCCAAAGAAGCCTGCTTCTCCTCCCAGGCAAAACCTCAGAACACTGCTCTGGTGCTAGGGTTGGGGATAACAGTGTACTTCTTTCCGAGTGACACCCTTGCTTCAGAAGCTGAGTGCTTGATGGAGAGAGGGGTAGCAGCCCCAGGGTTTTTAGCTAGCCTCCCTTGGTGTTAAGCCCTTACCTCAAGGGCTGGGGCAAGGGCGATCCAGGCCATAGCATTCTCAGCAGCACTGTGCCCAAGGTAAAGCTTCTGTCCCATGAGTGAGGTCTGGACAGAAGGTAGCCCCATCTACTGGAAATTAAACTCAGCATCAGGTAGCTGGGGGCAGGATGAGAAATGCTGACATCCTCCCACTCCTGGGACAACAGTCCTCAGGCTGGGAACTGAGTAGAGGGAGCCCTATGTTCTTGGCTTTACCAGTCTGCAGTAGAGTTCCCGTCTTGCTAAGCTTGGAGGGGGAAGGAAGTAGCAGTTTTGGTTCAAATATCACAGACTCTTGCTATTCCTACTGAGTTTAGTAGATTTCTTGAAAAAAATGTTGCTTCATTTGCTGTATGCCCTTAGGACCATGTCCAGAGAATTTAAGTGGTTGCTATTATTACATAATTTTCACTGGGAAGCAGGTCCAGGAGATCCTCATGTCATGCTGGAAGAGCGACTCTCAAGCTCTCGTGTATGAGCTTTCGAGTGGACATGTTTTCAATACTCTTGGATACATACCAGAGTGGAACTGCTGGTCATATGGTAACATTGAGACCACAAGGAGAGTCAAAGAGAATTTTCCTCTGAGGCAAGCACACAAATATGCGTTTAATATTGCTCCTTCAACTAACAAAGACAGCAATGCAGAGATGGAGAATTCTGTACTCTACCTGTGTTGAATATGTGATGCACTTACTCGCCAAATGCAAACAGCAAAATCTGTCTTCCAAACCCTGATTTCCTTCATGATAAAATATTATGATCACTGAAACAACAAGCTGGCCAAAACTTCAAATTGTGTTCTGTCTCAACAAAGTCTGCTATTATATAGTACGATAGCTTTCACTGAAATTCAAAGTATATATAAGTTTTCAATAAGGGCAAACATTTTAAAGAAAAGTCTGAGTCCCATCTTTGGATATTCTTCAGTGAAGAGGATGCTACCATCAACTAAAGGTATCCTATGTTAACACAACATTTTCCCCCAAAACCAAGCTTGAGAGCAGAGAGGAACATTTTAAATATTCAAATATATATAGCTTAATTAAAAATATGCATATGTTTTTAACATAAAACAACATTTCAAAGAGCTGTCTGCACTTTCAGCTACCACTTTGGGTGCTGCCCTCAGATTCTTCAGAGCATGGGCTGTACTCACTTATCTCGGCACTTAGAAGAATTTAGGTGGAAAAGTCCGAGAAGCCCTACCCTAAACAATCACATTATAATGATACACACACACAGAACACCTTATTTACATTAAAAACTCCTTTAGGATAGATGTATGGCTACTATTTGGTATATTCTGAAAAGCTTATTAGAGCATGCTACTCACATGCTTTGTAAATAAATGATATTTGTAAGATATCAGGGATGAAATTGAAAACAAAAGAAGTAGGATCAAAGGATCCTTACAGGTTTGCCCAAAAAAATCAGCTTAGATATTCTAGCAGAAACCTGAATAAAAGAAAGCACACTGACCCCTCACCACTTGATATTTAATAAGCTGCATGTAACACAGGAGTCAGATAGGAAATCTATTCTTTGAGAGGTTAACAAGTCTAATAAAAGGAAATAGCCCTTAAATAAACTATTTACCTCAGGTGAAAAACAAACAAGCAAAACTAAACTAAACTGAAACAGAAAGTCAGTTTTTAATCTTTTTTTTAATGCCCAACCTCAGCTATTGTTCCTTCCTTAGTCATGGTATATTCAAGCAAGTGTAAAATAACCACATAGTTTTTTAACTATCAACTTAACTGATGGAAAAGAATAGTTTCTTAACTTGTGAACAGAAAAGGATGACAAATGCAAACTTACATACAAACTAACCTTGGGGTTCACTGACCAACACCAAGCATTTTAAGACACCGGGGAGGAGTAGTTCAACATCACAAATGTCTACGTTAGCTTCCTTGGAGAGCTGGAGGATAAAGGCCAAAATGGATGCTAAGCGAGGAGGGGGTGAGGATCCTTTAAAATGAAAATAAGACTTCCTGAAAATAAGCAAAAGTTTTTGTTTTTTATTGTTTAAAGTTTCAACAGAGCAAAACCAAATGTCATGTACTAAAAAAATTTACTCCCCCAATTAATAAAGTGCAATCAAAAAAAGAAAAGTATGTGTTTTACCATGCTATCTTCAAACATAAGATTTCAGAAGCAATGACTGCATATTCTTTTGGTGTGCTATTAGGGACAAAACACAATACAGAAACAACCCAAATTTAAAGCAACATGGTTTTAAAATTAATATAACCAAAATAGAAATGAAGAACCTCATTGTTAATTTGTTTGTTTTTTCCTAATATAATAATCCTGATCTCCTCTATCAGCTTATCTTTCTCTCTTTGTGTGTTTATCATTATAATGTGATTATTCAGGGCAGAGCTTCTCTTTCTTTTTTTTCCCCTTAATAAAATAAATCTGAGCTCCTCTATCAGTTCTTCAATGCTGCAACATTTTCTCTAATGTCAAATTTGCATAAAGAAATCTCTTCTCACATTTATTTATCTAGGGATTTGGGAGGAGGTCTTATTTTTTTTTTTTTTCAAATAAAGAAGAGGACTATCCTAGGTATTAGCTTTCCATTCTAGCTCTAACCTCTTTCCTTCCTCCAGAAAGTGAATGAGTTAGAGAGATAATTTAGATTTTAACATCTTCTTTCAAAGCAGAACAAATTTTAACATTAGGACTCAACAGAGATCATAAAGATAGTAATTTATGTGACTCATCCTTCTATCCCCAGCTCCTAGAAGAGGTCCTGACTCACAACAGGTGTTTACTGTACATTTGTTAAGTGACTAAATGAAAACAGCAATTACTCAGTTTCTAAAAAGCCTAGACAATATGAAAATTGCAAATACAGCTAAATTTAAACTAAACATCCATATATATTTGAAAAATAATAATAATTTACCATAATGAGGCATGGAAATCACTAAGGATTATAAACTCCTTAAGGGCAGGAACTATGTATTAGTAATCATTTCTATTCCCTGCCGAGCTTTCAAAAAATTATTACATTTTACAAGATTCATTCATTCTTTGAGGGGAGAGGTTTTGTTTGTTGTGTTCACTCCTGAATCACAAACATTTATTGGGCACCTATGATGTGCCAGGTACAAGTTTAAGAGCAAAAATGTGAAGTTAAGTAAAATACTCTGAAAACAAGGAGAAGGTGGATGAGAAAAGATAATTACAATATAGTGTGAGGACTGCTGTGATAAAGATAAACACAGAATTCTTGGGGATTCAGAGGAAGGAGCCCTAACTCAGATGGAGGACTGCAGGAGTGAAGAAACTTGGAATGGAGGAAGTTGCAGGAGAAATCTCTGTATTTTTCCTAAGTACTAAAAAAAAAAAATTGCTACATTTTTACATCCTATGGTCATGGTCCATAGAAACCATAAGAAAAAAAGTTTTTACTAGTACGCAAGGTTATAGGAAAGTCAACTAATGCAGCCAGAATCACAAACACTGGGGCTTAACACAGTTTTATGACTTTAAGGATTTAATTTCAATTCAGCACTTATCCTTTGGTTTGTACTAAAATTACTTGTATAGTGTCTCAAACACAGTGATAGATTACAACAATCTTGTTGGGAATTCAGATAGAGGCAAGGCAAAAAAATTATGATTCTGGCAAATTGAATCCTACAGAGAATGAAACTTTAGAAGCAGAAAGAAGCATCATGGCACCCTGAGATATTAGGTGTAAGATGGGCAGAATTTAGCCTAGAGGTATGGCATTTTAATGGAGGAAACAGTCTAAACAAAGCTGTCATGTAGGAAAGTGTAAAGCATTTTAGAGGGGCAATAACTAAACCAATCTCACTAGGTTTGTATATGAAGCTATATGTAATACATTTAGAAAAGGTAGGTGACAGATCATGGAGAGCTAAGGAGTATGGAATTTATTCTATTGGCAAAAGTGAGCCAATAAAGGTTTGGAAGCAGGGAAGTATCATAATGGAACAGTGCTTTACGAAAAGCAATCTGGGGGTATTGTTTAGGTGGGACTGGTGAAAGTGGCCAAGGGACTGGCAACAGTCTAGGTGTAATGTCATAAAGCAAGAGAGATATAAAAAGAGGGGAAGGAAACAATCATTTGCCAAAGGAAGGCAAAGGAAAGGAAACAAAGAAGGTAAAGCTCTCAAACCTGAGTAACAGGACACTAGGAACATAAAAGGAAGTTCAGAAGGGAGCACAGATTTTAGATATGGAATTCTGTAATGAGAAGTGATGGATATTCAGCTCATTAACGAAGTCAGAAAACCAATATTAGAATATCACTATAACATCTTAATGTTTAAAACTAATTTCATATGATGCTAAATACTTCATGAAGACAAGGAAAAAATAATTTCTATTACTGGACCTTCTAATGTTGTAGTTAAAGGATACGGAGTATAGTAGAAAACCTAAGAAGTTACATTTATTAATTTACCTAAATACCAAAACAAAGAGCAGATGAACAAAATAGGAGTTCAAGTTGCTTCTTTTTCATATTACCATTCATTTTTAACCTAATGTTTATTTTATAAAATATAATTACTGCATTTTGTACAATTAGTGTATATCTGATGAAAAATTAAACAAAATATGTCTTTAGGACATGTATAATAAACATAATAGCTAAGTAAAGAAAACAGAAGCAATTTGAAGAACATTGTCTCAGGCTGTCTTGAGCAGATGTCATCTTACTCAATTCTTAGGAAATGTTAGCAGAAAAAAAATGTTTCTAACACTACCCGTATCCTAAAAGTTGTCAATATTTTTGAGATGTTGCTTTGTTATTTTTTAATAGAAATTAATAAATCGTAAAGCCCTCTATTTTTAATATTTAAATGTACCTTATAACTTGTGTAATGCATTTCTTTAGAGATGACATCGGTGGAACAGTGGCTGACGTTTTCAATGCCAACAAAACAGGATGCTGTCCAACACCTAAACCACACGGTGAAGCTGGAAGAAACCGCCCAATGTACTGCTCAATAACACTTCCTAATAATTGGTTCAAATAGGTATTTGGATTTTGAGACTGGCAACACACGATGCACATGCCCTACAGGAGAAAAAGAAAGAACTACTAAGAGGTGAAGTTTTAAAAAATAAACAATATCTAGGAACTTATCAATATAGTCCCCAGCATTCATATTCATGTCAGAATTTACAAGTTTATCACAATCAACAAGTACATCTCACATCATCAATAAACCAAAACCAAACCTGTTGTTGTCGAGTCAATTCCAACTCATAGCGACCTTATAGGACAGAGTAGAGCTGCCCCATAGGGCTTCCAAGGAGCGCCTGGTGGATTCGAGCTGCCAACCTTTTGGTTAGCAGCCGAACTCTTAACCACTATGCCACCAGGGACATCATCAATAGATGATGCTTATATGAACCTCACGGAGCGCTGAGCTTGGGTGATATATATGCTGTTGTATCTAACCAAGCGTTTAATCTTAAGGTATGTATGGAAGCAGGGGAGAAGTAGAGGAAGAAGACAAAAGATACTCCTTTTTACTTCTCATACTCAGAAAACTTGATCACCACATTCATGAACTACATATATATGTAACTATGAAGTCATAAAATACATTTTTAAGTCAGTTTTTTATGTAGGGTACTGGTCACTTTGTCTGAACAAGACTATAAAATTTATGCTAAAAATCTTGCATGTTAAGAAATGTGATCATTTTTAAAAAATAGTAATTAAAAAAGGGAGAGAAATGCAGAAGATTGAGACTTAGAATAACAATAAATTATTTAGAAGTTTTTATATGTCAGGCACTGGCCCACGGAATCTTTATTCACTATTTCATTTAAACTTCTAAAAAAATGTTAAGTTAGTATTATTGTGTCTCCATTTTAAAGCTGGGGAAACTGAGGTTTAGAGAAGTTAAGAGCTTCATCAAGGTCACACAGAAGTTACAATGTCTCGTTGCATGACTGCAGGTGTATTTCCTCCCATTCATATACAATTAATGAAATATTTTCATATGGATTATAGTATTTAATATTTAAACGATTAAACAAATACCCTGAGAAACAGAAATGTTTGTCTACCAGTATTTCTAAATATCCCATGTTCCTAAATATAGATAATCACCAACACAGCAACAAATTATGTTCTAAAAGTTCATTTATAATTTGGTACTGTGTTTTCCCAGAGAAATAATTAGAAATGTTTGTTATCAATCCATTTTAAATATTTACCCTCTAAGAAATTTTGAATGTTTATTTCTAATGAAAAACAGTATAGAGCTGTTAAAACACTAGCAATTGAAACAGCAAAAATATAAAATAATAATAATAATAATGGACTCCCGACTCCCTAACTCTGTTATTTTGAAAGCTGTTGTTTAAGGAAGAGTGCACTAATCAAAGAAAGATAAAGTAATCAATGGACACTTTTTGAAAATTCAGAAGAGGAGAGCTGGGTACCCTGAAGAAATTAAAGCTATAGCTCCTAATCAATTCTGCCAACAGGAAAATTCATCAAATTTTTAAATTTACCACTTTTGAAGTCTGTAAGAATTCTTACTAAATGGGTTGTATGGGTTTACGAGGGCCACGCGGAACAAACGTGCCAGACTTTCCTGTTGCCCATAACTCCCCTCTATCCACCCTGCCCCCTTTGGGAGTAGCAGCACAGGTTGTGCTATTTAACGCAATAAAGTTTGTTTTAAAGGCTGGTATGAATGCAAAATTAAGGAGCCAACTTAAAATTTCTCAAAAATCTTCAAATTCTGCTAGAAAAAATCCATTTGTGAAAGAGACTGCGTATTACCTAATCAAAATCCATTCTCACCTTCCTCCTCAGCTTCCCTTGCTGAACCCCAAGTTAGGAAGTACTCATCTTCAGTATCACACATTACGTAATGAATAATAAAGTACATCTCCAGCCCCGTTTTTTCTGTCTACTAGACACTGTTACCTAGATATTCCATATCATCTCAAATTAAAGCTGTTCAAAAATCAATTCTTACCTTCATGCCTGCATCTCTAGAATTTTTTGTTTCAGTTAGCAGCACTATTATCTACAAGTCAAAACAAAAACAAAACAAAACAAACCGATTGCTGTTGAGTTGACTCTGACTCATAGCGACCCTGTAGCACAGAGGAGAAATGACTGCCTCACAGGGTTTCCAAGGCTGTAAATCTTTGTGGAAGCAGACTGCCACATCTTTCTCCCATGGAGAGGCTGGTGGATTTGAACTGCCAAACTTGTGGTTAGCAGCTGAGTGCTTAACAACTGAGCTAACAGGCTCCCTATCTACAAGTCAACTACTCTGAAATCTAGGAAGTATTCCATGTCCTTCTGTTCCTCCACAATACTCACTCAACAAGTCTTTGTGATTAGAGCTCCTGAATGTGTCTGAAATCTGCTCTTAGTTCAAAACCTTCAGACAATGCATGGGTTATTGCAATGATTTACTTGCTGCCCTCTAAGTCTCCAATCTAACCTCCACACCGACTATCTTAGATGTTGCCACCACAATCATCTTTCTAAAATGTAAATGTGATTATGTCATTCACACTTTGCTCAAAATTCATCAGTGGTCCCCCTGTAAAAGAGAAAGTCAAAACTTCTTAGCACGGCATATAAAAGCCCTCCATTATGCGGCTTCTCCCAAATAAATCTGCACCTATGCCAGAATGATTTGTTTTTCTCCAGTGTCGTGTTTTCTTAAAACATATGCCCTTGTACATGCTGTTCCCTCTGAAAGGAATTTCCCTCCAACTCCTACTCACTTTGTTCTTTTACACCTAATATCCTCTACAATGTCTCCTCCTCTCACATCTCCTCATTCCCAATCTGGTTGATAGATAGCTGAGGCCTCTAAGAAAAACAGCACACTACCATAAATGTCTGTGTTAGTCGGCCTCCTCTCGACCATAAACTCCTTCAGGGGACAGACTTTCCCTTTTCATCTTTGTTTTCAGAGCCAAACACAAAAGAATTTACAGCTTGTTCAGTGGATGTACCATTTGAAACTACAATGGAATTTTTTAAAATCTGCTTTAGCAAACTATGTTTTAAGGCAAAATTAAAAAAACAATATTTACTTTTAAGCAGTCACATTTACTATACCTGGAGATACAAAGGAAGACTCTTCTGAATTGCAGTCAACATAGCTGCAGGCAGCTCCTTTTCTTGCTGTAACACCGTATGTGGTAGCAGCAAACAATCTATGATCCGAAATAGTAATTTTTGGGCTTTAGAGGTGGCAAAGATCTGTGCCCATGATTTAACAAGAATTCCTAACAAAGAAAAACAGAAACAGCAGTTACGGTTATCTTCTACCCAGAAAATTTTATAATTCCAATAAAAAATGTATAATTAAAGCAGACAAGGCCAAGTTAAAGTAGGCAGCAGGAAGAAAGATATAATAGGAGTTACAAGACCTATGTTAAGTCGCTTATATCCTAAACAGTTAAATTTCTCTCAGTGCTCTGGGCCAAGAAAAACATAAATTTTCTAAGCAACTGGCACTCACATACATACACAACACATGTAAATATACATACATACATATTTACATACAAATCTATAACTATATAACTATACACTCATACACACAGAGTGATACCTTTATGCATTACGTGAATTATAGATTGAATGTTGAAATTAATTAGATTTCCCTTTTTGCTTTGGCTGCTAGGAAGCTCAGTGGTGAATTTACACTCCAACTTTAGAACAGTGTAAGATTATACATTATGCCTTTATGTGTATACTAACTTCTCCACGGGCCTCATCATGCTCCTCTACTTTTATTTTCTTGACACCCTTATTTCTCAAAATTTTTATTTTATATGTAATTTTACAGGCTGTCTCAATCTAGTTTGCAATAAATAGCACTATAACTAAATTTAATTAATAGAAAAAATAAGATTAGCTGTACACCTGGGAACAATCATTTAACCTCCTTGAACTTCAACTTTCACATCTTTCAGAAGATGGCAATAGTAATAAAAATGCACTAGAATACTTTGATTTTCTCTTTTTATCATTTAATATAAACAAACAAAACCAGTTACTATCGAGTTGATTCCAAATCATAGTGACCTATATGTGTCAGATTAGAACTGTGCTCCACAGTTTTCTTTTTTTAAATTTTATTTACAGGCAGTCCTCAGATTATGAACAAGATCCATTCCTAAATCTGTCTTTAAGTCGAATTTGCAGGTAAGTCGAAATAGTTACATAGGTTCTTTATTTAGTGTCTTATTGTTTGTCATAGTATACAGTATATATTTTACCTTTCTATGCATATAAAACACTTAAGAAACACTTTCAAACCGTGCAATGTTTTCGTAAGTGTCACAAAGTACTGTGTGCGTTTATTACAAGCCACTGTATGTATTTAACTCAAATTTTTAATATAATAAATAGGCTTTATGGCAGTCCATTCTTAAGTATGAGTTATCCATAAGTTGGACATTTGTTACCAGGGGACTGCCTGTATTTTGTCACTGTTGTTGAGAATATACACAGCAAAACATACACCAATTCAAGTTTCTACATGAACAATTCAGTGACATTGATTACATTCTTTGAGTTGTACAAGCATTCTCACCCTTCTTTGCTGGGTTGTTCCTCCCCTATCACCATAAACTAACTGCCCCCTAAGTTTCATATCTAATCTTTTGAGTTGCTGTTGTCAATTTGATCCCATACACATAGATCTTGAACAAGCATAATGCTCATGGCAGACATTTTTCACTAGTTAAGCTAAACTACTGTTTGGTTTTAAGAAGACTTTAGGGGTATTTTCTGGTTTAAAGATTATCTCAGGGCAATTGTTTTGGGGGGTTAATCCAGCCTCTATGGCTCCAGAAAGTCTGGATTCCATGGAAATTTGAAATTCTGTTCTGTATTTTCTTCCTTTTAATCAGAATTCTTCCATAGACTCTTTGATCAAAATGCTCAGTAATGGTAGGCGGGCACCATCCAGTTCGTCTGTCTCATGGTAAAGGAGGCAGCTGTTCATGGAGGCAATTAGCCACACATTCCATTTCCTCCTCCTGTTCCTGACTGTCTCTGTTGTTCCAGGCAAATAGACACATTGTTGTGCCCTAGATGGCTGCTTGCAAGCTTTGAAGACCCCAGGCACTATGCGACTAACTAGGAGGTAGAACAGAAGCGCTAAACATGTTATCAGGCCAATTAACTGGGAGGTTTATGAAACCACGACCCTAAACCTCCAAACCAAGGAATCAAATCCCATGAGGTTTCTGTTTGCACATAAGCAGAGTTTTTTTTTTTTTTTTTGTCATTGTTGTCTCCATAGGGTTTTCAATGGCTAATTTTTTGGAAGTAGACTGCCAGGCCTTTCTTCCAAAGTGCCTTTCAGTGGACTTGAACATCCAACCTTTTAGTTAGCAGCCAAGCACATTAACTGTTTGCACCACCCAAGGACTCCATAAACAAACAAAGTGAGTTTAAATTTTGATTCTGAAAGAAGAGAAAAGAGCTTCATTACTACTTGAAATACATTATGGTTTTACTGATGCTAGGAGTTTGTCAGTTGCCACATATGACATTAGTAAAGCTTAACAAATGAACATCCTTTATTTAATAAAGTAATTAAGAGCAGGTATATAATTCCCATTAGGCTGCATTACTGCTACTGAGGTCTCCTTACCTGAAAAACAAATTCAAAGTAGATCATTCAATAAACTACTTAAACTACTATAAGCACTTGTACAAACAGCACAGTGGTACATCTACTACATAAACTTTTATATTTCATTCCATTTTAAAAAGCAAAAAAAAAAAAAAAAGGAAAACTAAGTCATTTTCATAAAACAAAAAGTTTAAAATTCAAGCTCTGAAGGAAAACAAAAATATGCTTTTATAGAAGAGTATATATTGATGTTTAAAAAAACCCAACCAATAATCACTTCCAAGAACAACAAACAGAAACATTAATCTTCTGTTGTAAAAGGAAATACAATAATCAATCATAAAGAAACACAATGTTCACTTAGCAATACTTTAAATAATGCTGTCTTGCTATCATTTCTCCAGTAGGTGGAAAACTTTAAGTATGGCAGCAATGTGAGAAGAACTCACTTCCTAACTAACATTAATATAACTGTAAGAGGAACTGCCATCACCACTGACATGTGAAATGATTAATATCACTCTTGGGTGTCACACAGGTATTACTTATAAAGAGCAGGGACCTATCAACCAAAAATGCATCATCTATCCTTGTATTTCATCTGGTGCAATGGTTAAAACCCTTTGCTGAAGTCCTTAAGTTTTATGAGTTCATAGAAAGCAGAAGGGATACATTTGTTTTACTGCCATATCAGATCCCAGGTTTTTAAGTTTCAGTACAGAATATTTGTGTGTATGTGTGTGTGTGTATTTAAAATACAAACAGGGAACATGAAGAGAAGTAAGTTTTTGAAGTAAAAAATTTGGGAATGATTTAAATACATACAGTTTATTTGCATAAAAACAATTTTTTTCCTGACTATAAAAATTTTATATATTTACTGATAACTAGAAAATACATAAAAATACTAATATAAAGATAATATCCAAAGATAACAAGTGTAAAAATTCTTGTGTACTTACTTTTCATTTCTACGTATATATTATGCTTTAAAAAAGGAGGAGGGAATAGGTTGGGATTACTATAACATAAATTTTTAAAAAGTGTACTTAGAAAGCAACTTTTCTCATTTAGGAACATTAAAAAATACATCATGTACTATTAGCTAGGTTTACAAAATTATTTCTTGTTGTTGTTAGGTGCCATCAAGTTGGTTCCGACTCATAGCGACCCTATGTACAACACAACGAAACACTGCCCGGTCCTGTGCTGTCCTCACAATCATTACGTTTGAGGCCACTATTGCAGCCACTGTGTCAATCCACCTTGTTGAGGGACTTCCTCTTTTTTGCTGACCCTCTACTTTACCAAGCATGATGTCCTTCTCCAGGGACGGTCCCCCATGATAACATGTGCGAAGTATGTGAGACAAAGTCTCACTATCATTGCTTCCAAGGAACATTCTGGCTGTATTTGTTCCAAGAAATATTTGGTTGTTCTTCTGGCAGTCCATGGTATATTCAATAGTCTTTGCCAACATCACAACTCAAAGGCATCAATTCTTCGGCCTTGCTTATTCATTGTCCAGCTTTCGCATGAGGTGACTGAAAATATCATGGCTTGGGTCAGGCACACCTTAGTCCTCAAAGTGACAGCTTTGCTTCTCAACACTTTCAAGAAGTCTTTTGCAGCAGATTTGCCCAATGCAATACATCGTTTGATTTCCTGACTGCTGCTTCCATGGGCATTGATTGTGGATCCAAGTAAAATGAAATCCTCGACAACATCAATCTTTTCTCTCCATAAAATTATTAAATTCCATAAATACTTATTTAGTATATGCCATGTTCTATATTACAGAAGCTCTTTAACCTACTTATCCCAGTTCCCAGTCCAGTGCCTGATACATACTCAGTAAATGTTTTGTTCAAAATACCACAAGAGGATGGGAATAAAAAGTTCAAAAGATATGGACACTATCATGAATAAGTTTAAAATTGAGTAGGGAATATCAAGTACATAAATAATTATAGTTACAAGCTATGAAAAACATTATAAGGGAAATACAGATGAAGTACAGAGGGAGATCAAGTTAACTTGGGAATGCAGGAAAGGTGGAGCATTTGGACTGGTCACTGAAGGATCATGGCTAGAATTTCAACTATAAAAAAAGGGGAAGGATGGTAGAATAGAGAAGAGCATAACCAAAAGGAAAGGTATAGAAACAAAACTATGGGATATGAAGAGAAAAACAGAAACATGATATAAAGAGAAGAAAAGCTGAAGAAATTACCGATAGATTAACCCTGCCTTCTCAGAAATTTCTGAACTATGTTTAAGACCTCAGACGTCTTAATTTGGAGTGTGATTTTATCAACAGAGTTTTGAGCCTTCCACTATCAGTCTTTCAACATTGTACAGCAAGGGTATGCCTATTTAGGAATTAGCAAGGTAAGTAAGATACAAAGTTTCAGTGGCTACTCTCTTGCTCTCAAGTGGATATGAAATCTCAATCCTAACACATTCTAAACAGGTTCCAACTCTCAAAGGATTATAACTGCTCTATCTCCATTTTATTCTAAACCATTTACACAAAGTCACGCAGAAAATATTGAAGTTGTCAAGGATTTCATTTTACTTGGATCCACAGTCAACGCCCATGGAAACAGCAGTCAAGAAATCAAATGATGTACTGCATTGGGATATCTGCTGCGAAAGACTTCTTGAAAGTGTTGAAAAGCAAAAATGTCACTTTGAGGACTAAGGTGTGCCTGACCTAAGCCATGGAAAAGCTGGACAATGAATAAGGAAGGCTGAAGAAGAATTGATGCCTTTGAATTATGGCGCTGGTGAAGAATATTGACAATCCCATGGACTGCCAGAAGAACAAACAAATCTGTCTTGGAAGAAATACAGCCAGAGTGCTCTTTGGAAGCAAGGATGGCAAGACTTTGTCTCACATACTTTGGACATGTTATCAGGGGGACCAGTCCCTGGAGAAGGACACCATGCTCGGTAAAGTAGAGGGTCAGCGAAAAAGGGGAAGACTCTCGACGAGATGGACTGACACAGTGGCTGCAACAATGGGCTCAAACACAGCAATGACACTGAGGATTGCAAAGGACCAAGAAGTGTTTCGTTCTGTTGCACACAGGGTTGCTATGAGTTGGAAATAACTCAGTGGCACCTAGCAACAGCAGTCAGTTACCTGTTCGTAATTTCTAATAAATGGGTAACACTGTAGCAGTATATTTTATTCCTAGTCTCTGAGACCAAGACAAAAGGAGAGAATATAGAACTTCCTCTCACGGAGTCAAAATCAACAAGGAAGCAAAACCTTCAATTCTTCATAAGGAGAATTTTGCCCCAAACTTTCCACGTCTACATAGCATCAATCCAAAATAACTTTGCAGTTGCTTATAAGGTTATCATATATTTTAAAAAATAAAGACATACTTACCCTAAAGTCATTCATTTGGTTTGGCAAAAATCCTAAATCTGGACACTTCAGAAAACTTTTTTAGAGACTAATAATTTATAGCCTAAATGCTGAAACACTTATTAATCTACATTCTGTCAAGTTAGATTTATAATAAATTCCCACTTACATTTTGCTCTAAAATTAAGATGCCTGAATTGCTACAGTAGCTTTCACTACATTGTACATCCGCATTTACACATTTTCACATTCTCCTTTATCTTTCACAACAAAGATAAAAGGTTTCAGACAGCCCAAATCAGGTTTATTCATATGTTCACAAGATCAAAGGAAACAGATATTAGGTGTTGGCCACAGAAAAATACCAAAAAAAAAACCTAAAAAAAAACTTAAATTATGTATGAAAACTTCTAAGGAAATCTTTCTCATTTCCCTTTATCTAGTTCCTATTTTTGGTTAGCAACAAGGTTTTAGTGAACAAAGATATTCAAATTACTGAGTTCCTAAAGCAGGATGAACTCAGTTGTTAAAGAACAGGCACAGAAGATTTCTTTTTGAAAGGAGAAAACACAGTATTGTGAGAAGCAGATTTGAAGCATAAATATGTCAGTGTTGTAGTAAGTCCTCTCCTGACCTCCTTCACACAGAACAAAGCATAAAAACAGAAGAATGTGGTGATTTTCTGATGTTTTTATTCTAACACTTGAAGTATAGATAAGCATTAAAAATGTCTACTTTAGTTTTCCAGATATTCATAATATGAATGATTCACAACAGACTCTTGATATCTAATTGGTGTTGGCATGTTTTCTGTATTGATCATAATTAATTTTAATATCAACACAAGCATAATATAACAAGAAAACTACTGAAAGGAGATGGGGCAAGGCAAAGATAATTCTGAAAGTCAATGTGAATTATTTTCAGGTGAATCACTCTATTTTAGACTATTCTTATAATGGTATGGACAGTGGTGACTTAACCAGTATATTTCTACCATGATACTCTAGGTTCAACTAAAGAAGTGTTACTAGCAAAATAACATCAGGAATACATACCCATCATCCCATAAGTCAGCTGCAGCCCTGCACTGGAATTTTTTTTTCCCAAATAAGGTTTTATATATTTTAATACTTCACCAAGGTATTCTAAGGATTTTGTGACCATGGCAGATTTATCAGAAAGTGTCTGCAGATTCCTGTAAGTTATGCCCACAGCCTATAAATAAGGGAAAACATGATTAGCTTTCCAAGCTTTATATAATACAGACTTTGAAAAAATAAAGATAATTTCTGTCTCCATACAGATACATGCACACACACACACCTGTTCAAGTCTTCATTCTTTACTTTCCAGTAAAGGTTTACAACAATTAAAATGCAAGTGAAAAGAATTAAGCCTTGCATTTTATAATTAAAATGGAAGTTAAAAAGAAGAATCAAAAATCAATTTTCACCAATAATTATTTATATCTTATTCAGCACAGTACTAGTGAAAAGAAGCATAGAACTGATGAACAAGAAGCTTATAACCAAATCAGATCAAGACTTCCATATAGGCTGGCTCACCATATTTCTAGATTATATTTGGGAATGCAAAACCCCCAAATTCCTACAGGTAAGACCTTCAAGTAAGGTTACCAAACTCCTGCAAGTAAGACCTCTTAGTTCAGCTCTATAATATGAATCCATTTTTTCTCCAGAATTTTCTTTATGAATCATGAGATGTCAGCCTGACTTTCTCAGAGGGGGAAAAAAAAAAAAGGATGGGGCAGACGGAATAAAGAGGATAAAACGGGGAGGTGATGGAGAAAGGCACAAAGGTGGTGGGTGAAGGGGAGAGAAATTGTGAAGTGAGGCAGTGAAAGAACAACAGTGAGGTGGGGAAAAAAAAGGAAGGGAAATAAATGAGAGAATAAGTTGAGAAAGGGTGGGAGTAAGCAAGAAGAGGTAATAAGCATTGGTCTGTCTTTCACTTTGAATGGATCTTTTACCCATGCATGCTTTTGTAAAAGCCTAGATCAGTTATTTGGAAAATTCTGATCACATTATCCATTAAAAAAAAAAATCACTTTCTTTAATGCTGCCACTGATTTCATCAGAAATCTTTAAATATTGGTAAGCTCCAAGCTCACAATAGCAGACACAAGTTTTCCAAAATTCTAATTTTCTTAAAAACTCAGATTATTGGTAACAAATACTGTCAATTATTGTTTATTCGTTTTTGAGAAGATGTCTGCCAAATACTGAAGTCTGAAAAACTACATTGTCAGTTATTCTTTCAAGATAGAAGTAGGTAGTTCAGCTTGCAACTCAAATAATCACACAAGTGCTTTAAGCACACTTCCACTGTGTCCCACAAAATATTAAAAAGATGTGTATTCATGGTTCAGAATTTAATATAATTAATTGTATTGCTTCATTAAAGATATTAAGTGAAATTGGCTTTTTTTCCCCTATGAGTGTATGGCTGTGGAAAATATAATAACTACTAGCACAATCCTGGGCCACGGTGTTGATTTCTGCTAAAGCTTCTGAACTATTTGTGTAAATGTCAACATAGTTTTGACCTCATAGGACCTCCTGAAAAGGTCTCAGTAACTCCCAGGGGTCCACAAACCACACTTTTGAGAACCAGTGCCCTAAACATCTCAATCTTTCTATTTAGCCTTTTCCCTCTATAGGCTACTAGACATGTATTCTCAGTACGTTAACTATCACTACTTACAAGTTATACTATCATTTCCATGCAGAAAAGAGTTAATACACAGGCCTGAGACTGCTATCTTTAGAAAGGCCTGCTTGCAATGTTGGCCCTTGGCTCATGTCTGGAAACTTAGATTCTGGGAGGGTTCCCACAATAAGAATGGCTCACTATCCCTAAACTGTTGGTGCAAATATGGTTTATGCGGAACACCTGCTTTCCTTTTATGAGTCTCGGATTTTGTTAAGTGCTAAGCAGAAGGTGACTATGCGATTAGCCCCCAACAAAAACACTGGGTACTGAGTCTCTAATGAGCTTCTCTGGTAGACAATATTTAACACGTTTTCACATTTGATTGCTGGAAGAAAGAAGCGTATCCTTTGTGACGTATTGGGAGAAAACTCCTGGAAGCCTTTACCTGGTTTCTCTAGACTTCGCCCCATACACCTTTTCCCTTTGCTGATTGTGTTTTGTATTCTTTTGCTGTAATAAATCACAGCTCTATGTCTGACTATATTGAGTCCTCATGAATCAAAGGATCTGGGGGTGATCTTGCGGACCCTTGATACAACTTCAAATTAAACAAGTTTAAAATTGAACTCCTCACCTACTTCTACTTCACCCTAAATCATCATGTTCCTATTTCTCCCAGTTAAACATAGTATTTATTCCATATCCATTCAGGAATCCCGTAACCATTCAATATTCAATTCTTTCTAGATCTCACTAGTTTCTAGCCAACAGTTCTCCCCAACTTTCAGTCTACTTTACTGTGCCTAATTTTCTTAAAGTCATTTGGTCAAACTGGACCTACTTAAAAACTTAGAAAGCCTTCACACTGTTCATAGGATACAATCCAAACTTTTTATACCAACATGCTCTGAATTTTTAACCTACTGACTGATCTATCAACTAATTGGTACTTAGCACATACTGCCTTGTATTATTATTTCAACTTTTGTGTGTTTGCCTTATACTCTCAGACAAGTAAAGTTCTCTGAGGTCAAGGATTACTTCTTTTAGCTCTTCAAATTTCTAAGAAATCCTACTCTAATACTACTTAGCATTTAGAAAACAACTATCATTTACTGAATGATGAAAGAGCAATAAATTGGACTGGATCAAATTAGGGCATCCTCTGAAAACTATTAGTGGACTTCTACTTCCTGTTCTGGTCCAATATGGTTCCTAGCATAAGTGTTTAATTAATTATAGGTTGAGATCCAGTAGATAACTATTACCAAATATTTTTGGGATTTATATGCGATTTCTAGTTGTACTTGAACTTAATGCAAACCGATGGAAAATTTTGCATTTATGCCAACAGCTTATTGGTTATAATTTTCATTGCAGTTAACACCCAACCACTCTGTGGAAAAATAAACCAACCTTTACTCTGAATAGCTTACAAAAGACCCTAATGCAAACACATTAACAACATCAACTATGCTGCAAAACAAAGAGTATCACATAAGATACACCTATATAATAATTAAAAAATAAATTCTGAAAGGGGCTATTTATTATGTAGACTAGACAAAACAAAACAAATGGAATTTTAAAGATCTTACCATACTATCATATGAAGAGTTGGCACTTATGCTGAATACACTAAAATTTCACTATACCACTGTTTGCTACAGGGCAGTAAACACTATTAAGCTGGAACCATTCTGGACACTATACAAAGAGATGTAGTTCCTAAGTACCTGAAGAACGTTGTTATCCAGCAATTTCAGCAATAAGATATTCCTACAATTTAGATCAGCCTTACAGTAACGCTCTCATGCAGCATTTTAAAAATTATTTTCTATTAAATGTAATTTTGTTATCCTTAAGAGTGAACTGTACTATACCTTAGATTCATATTTTTCCTTCTAGAATTTTATAGTCTAAGGCTACCAGTAATACAATTCAATTTAAAATAATTCATTTTATAGAAAAACTTTTCAAGAACACTTTGTTTTTCTAAAAAATAATTGTAACTGAGCTAGATAATTATGCTAATAAATGAAAAATACCTCAAGGAATTGAACAAGTGCTTTTTTAGGGTCTTCTAAGATGGTTAAATATTCAATTTGAGCCTTTGAGAAAATATCCTTTACTTCTGGTAGTTTAAACAGCAACCTTGTCAGTTCAACCAACTGTTGCATGTAGTCTTTCTCTGTTAAAATAAAAAAACCAAGTAAAATAACATTAAATTTAATTAAAAAAAAAAATAGAGAGAGAGATGAGAAAATAGAGAAGGTATCATACTTCATTTATGACATGCTTTCTTTTAAAATTCAAATTTCAACAAAGTTCAAGGACTTTGAATTAGTTTTCTCTTTCTAAGCAAAGGTTTTATTTAAAACAAAACAAACAAAAATGTACTTGTGAACTTCTTAGCCCAAAAAGTTATTCATGTAAAGCTAACTGATGTAATACATTATCAGAGTAAATTTGGAGCATTTTTCAGTACACACTTCTGTGATTTACAAAATAACCATGAACACGTCTTACAGACAACCAGAAGTGTGTGGGAAATAATGAAAATTTTAAAAGTACAAGTATCACTCTGTGAATAAGAGTAAACCAGAAAAAAGGCAAAATATCTACTATAAAATGGGACAGAATTATTCATAATTGGATATTTTTTCTTTTTTAGGGTGATCACAGAGTGGTATCTGGTTATTTACCTCAGATTTCTACTTATTTTATGTGATCAGTTTCTTCAGGGAAAAAAACAGCTTGTCACCTGAGGAGCAAGTTTTTGTTCTTGGCTTCCAAGGAAACAAGTTCTTTTATCTTTACAGGAGATAAATTTATCACATATAGTAACAGGAGAGCAACAAGAAAAAGAAACAAGTTGCAAAAGGAAATAAATTTCTGCTTATATTCATATCTAATTACAAATTTATTTCACATATTTTCTATTCATTTATAACAAAACAGCAACTTTTAAACACATTTAACTATATGAAAAGCAAAGAGCTTCACATGCATCCAAAAACAACCTAAAAAACAAAAAGAAAACCCAGGAACACTTACTTACCAACTGCCTGTTCAGGATTTATACCAATGAACAAATCATCAGGCACAGAGAAGTCTTTTATATACATTTGCAAAACACAACGGATCCATGATCTTACAGTTAAGGCTTGAAAAGACACATAGTCTGAATGACAGAGTGCTTCACATAACGCGCTGTAAAAATGAATTGATAGTTATCAGAAAGATATAGCAATATGTTCCCCAAGAACAGAGATTAAGAAGTAAAGAAAAACATTGCAACATTCCCTGCTCCTTGGTTTCACTTATTTTTCAGACAAACACACTAGTGTAGACATGCATTGCTGAAAATGAATGCTACAGATATACATAAAAAGATATTTCAGATAAATATTCTTGTTTTCATTTGCAGTTTTCTAGTTTTTAAGATTCTTTTTTACAATGATGGCATATGTGTAGGCTTACACCAAGGGACAGGTAAGAAAGAATGTGGTTAAAATGGAGAAAGCAAGAAGCTTATAACTAGTTAAGTGAGAGAATAATGAAAAAAGTCACAAGTAGAATAACCCAACAGAGGCATTTAGAATAAGTAAAGAGAGAAGAGGTCATGAACACATAGGTAAGAAAAAATGAAAGACCAAAATACATTTCTGTGTGCTTCTCCTGACAAAGCTGATTCCTATTCCCTTTCCTGCTATCCCCTTCCAGTCATTATTAAAAATATCTCACACAGAATTCCAAAATACGTGCTAGAAATTATATATATTACCATAATTCTAAAAATGTTATTTTGAAATACTTTTAATATGTTGTTGTTGTTGTTGTTGTTAGGGCTGTCGACTGACAGTGACCCCATGTGACAGAGCAGAACTGCCCCATAGGGTTTTCTGGGCTATAATCCTTATAGGACCAGATCGCCAGGTTTTTCTCCCACAGAGCTGTGGGGTGGGTTTGAACTGCCAACATTTTGGTTAGCAGCCAAGAGCTTAACCATTGCGCCATTAGGGCGCCTTTGAATATAAGTTGTCTTTTGAGAACACAACATAGAAGAATTCAGACTGGCCATTTACTACCTATGTAACCTTACTTAACACCTCCACATTTCACTTTCTTCAACTACTACTAATAAACCAATACTATTTCAAAAACTAAAATTATTTCAAACCATTTTAACAAGAGTGTTTAATAAATAATGTAAATATTATTATAGAATTCTCAAGCTAGAAGGGATCTTTAAAGTAATTTAACTGAAAGTGAATTTCCTCACTTTACAAACGAAAGCCCAATGAGAAAACAGGTACTTAATAACTCTGCTAATTAAACTTTCTTATAAGAAGAATTACCTCACCAACTATATCCCATCATTTTCATATAAGCAGCTCAGACAAGAACTACACTGGCCTCTTAGATTTGTATACTTACTTTATTTTCCTTCATCTTGATGTTTTTATTTAAATCTTCCTAATCACTCTATGGAGCCCTGGCGGCATAGTGGGTAACAGCTTGACTGCTAACCAAAGGTTGGTAGTTTGAATCCACCAGATACTCCTTGGAAACCCTATGGGACAGTTCTACTCTCTGTGAGTCAGCATCAACTTGATGGCAATGGGTTTGGTTTTGGTTGATCAATCTGTGCTATTTCTATTTTAACTTTCTTTATTGCAGACTTTTTCTATTGAGGTTACTCCGATCTTTTGTTTAATGTGGCGGGAGACACAGATAAGGAAACCAATGTTCAGGGCAGTAAACTGCCTTATTCATGATCACACAAGGTAAGAGTTAAATCTAAAAATTAAGCTGTCAAATAAAAAACCAAAACCAAATCCATTGCTGTTGAGTCAATTTTGACTCATAGCGACCCTATAGGACAGAGTAGAACTGCCCCATGGGGTGGGTTACCAAGGAGCGGCTGGTGGATAAGTACTGGTGATCTTTTGGTTAGCAGCCTGAGCTCTTAACCATTGCGCCACCAGGTCTCCAGCTGTCAAAAGGAAATAGCTGTCATCGAATCTAAAACTACAATAGTACCAGTGTCTTACAGATTCAGCTATGTTAGTTGCATAATTTCTTTCATAATGCCAAGTGTAGAAAAATCATTTTTGGATGAGAATAAGGCAGTCCTACAAAGTTTTTAAAAAGGCCTTAACCAGAAACATTAAAAAAAAAACATAAGCTAGCTTTCCTACTAATACAGTGTCAAAATGCTGATGCATCCAAAAACAAACAAAAGAACTGCCATAGTGAAAGTGTACACAGTAAAGTTCAGTTTTTATTTGTGAAAATTCTTACTTTCCTAGGGTATTGATCTGTCATGGGCTTGCATTAATGCACATGCCTGAAATAAAAGCACATACCTATTTTGTAGGACATGACTTAAATATCTTGCTACAACTTGGGGCCAGATGATATCATCCCAACCAAAAAGCCGAATCATTGATATAACTGGTTGAGGCTGAAGATCTGATGGAGCTGAGCTGGGCATGTCCATTGCTAACAAAGTAAAATCTAGATTAAAAATGAGAGAAATTTATGATGAGAAAATTTTTTAAAAATCTTTTTCCCCTCAAAATTGTATCAATATGATGAAAAAATAAATCAGTTCTAAATAATAAAATGTCACATTTAGAAATGTAGAACAAACAAATCTCTAAAACTGAACTAAATTCATCTTGTCAAAAAAATTTCTGCGGCATCACCTAATTCTCCAAGAAAAGGTGAGAATGATCTGTCTTAGCATTATCCTTATGGATCTGTAATTACTCCTTCAAGTCACAGATTTTAAGCCTTACGTTTTTGCTAATGTGCCTCCCTCATTCGAAAAAACATTTTAAAAAATATTTCTAGCACCTACTCTTCTTCAATTACGCTAATTTTAACTCGCCACCTGCCCCAGATGAGTAGCTCACTCTCATCTTAGACACTGGACATTGTCTTCTATTAAACAGTGATTTCCTATAATCAACGACACCTCACTTCCTTCAGAACCGGTAAGTGTAGGAACTAGAATTCCTTAATTAACCATGTGAAACAAATCAACTTTATTTTGTGATTTCCTGGGAATTCACCAACTTAATGTGTACTATATTAATTTATGTTTGTTAATAAGTTGCTCATTAAGCATTGTTTCCTATGCAGCTCTCTCAAATAGTAGCTGTTTATTTTCCCACTCCCCTCATACCACTTGACCTACAAAGAGGCAGGTTTCCTGCTTGGTCTATATTGCTGCTCTAGACCATTTTCCATCCTTCCTCCCTAAAACCCTTGGCTTTGAATCTTATGTCATCAGATTATACCAGCTACTAACTCTCCTTGTTGAACTGGTCTGCTGTTCCTTGTCCACCTCTCCTCATTCCTGGAAGATTATAGCTCACTATCATTCTCTCCAACAGCATTTGTGTTATAATCCTTGATGATTTTTCTTCCAATATATTGGCCTCTCCATTCCTTGAACCTCTCTCCTCTGATGAGTTTATCCTCCCCTTTACTTCAGCCACTCATTGCCATGGTGACACCCAAAGATCCTGGCATTACCAATAACTGCAATCTTCCTATAATTCCAACCATAAGTACCCCAGTCTGACATCAAAATGGCTTTCCAACTCTCATCACCTACAGCCCCAACTCCAGCAATTCTTTGACTCCACCAAGACCTACAATCCACTGATCCTACAAATTTTTCTCTGTCCCTCACTACCCTTCTTCCCTCTTTAGACAGCTTAGATTGCAAGATCCATTATTATAAACATTTGTGTATACCATCAACTGCCTTGTTTCTGTCTTGATTCATTGTAATTGCCTGGAAAAAACACTATCCGTTTAATTCCAACTCTTGGTCTTCTCCCCCCACTCCACAATTGTAAACAGCTGGAGAGCAACCATGCTGACTGGTCTCACTTTAAATTTATGACCACAAACTTGAAGTGGGTCCTTGGAGCTGGCCAGCGTTCCTACATTTGCTCAGTCCATTCGGTCTTCTTCTAGGGGACTGTTGCAATACCTTCTCTCTTCTCTCCTTCAACAAAACCATCCCCTCCTCCTCTATCCTTTCTTTCAACTAATGACCTTACTATTTCACAGAGAAAAGAGAAACAATCAGAGGAGAACTGCCACCAGCTCACACCATAGCTACACAGCTGCCTCCATCTGTACCCATTTACTCTGCTTTCTTTTATGCTACTATAGATGAGTTGAGGCCAACTCTTCTACAGGATCCCATCTTCTCCTGGGTAAAAAACACACGTGTCTCCTGCATCATAAAAATTTCCCTCACTCTGGATCAGTCCCATCAGAATTATAAATATGCTGAATTATAAAACTGCTCCCATGTTATTAAAAACCAATAACAAAACAAAAATTTCCTCTTTGAGCCCCATCCAACTAACATCCCCAATTTTCCTACTTATACAGTAATACTCTTTAAGAGTTTTATCTATATTTGCAGTTTGCAACTCCTTTCACATCTTCTCTTGAATCATCTTCAGTCAGCCTTTCTTTGTCACATCTTAATTGACCCATTAGCAGCATTTGATCTGGGTGATCACTTCTCATTCTTTGAAATGCTCTGTCACTTGATTTCCAGGGTGCTCTAGAGATGAAATGGTTAAGCGCTTGGCTGCTAATTGAAAGGATGGCAGTTCAAACCCACCCACTAGCTCTGCAGGAGAAAGACCTGATGATCTGCTTCTGTAATTATTACAGCCAAGAAAACCCTATGGGGCAGTTCTACTCTGTCACATGAGGTCTTGAGTCAAAATCGACTTGACACCACTTAACAGCAACATACTTTCTTAGTTTTCCTCTTACCTCACTGGCACTTCCAATCTCCTTTCCTGGTTCCTCCTTATCCTATAAATCTGAACATGGAACACCAAGAATCTAGTCTTGAACTTCTCTTTTCATCTATACTGTCAATGATCTCATCCAGATTCATGGCTTTGAAGATGATATATACATGGATAGCTTCCAAATTTGTATCTCCAGCTTGGACCTCTTCACTGAACAATAGGCTCACTATCCAAGTGCCTACTTAATATCTCTACTTGGATACTTCAAAAAATATGTCTAAAACCAAACTGCTAATCTTCCCCCCAAAATTAATCTCCTACCACAATCTTCCCCATCTCAGGAAATAACACCATTCCTTTAACTGCTGAAACAAAAAATCTGATGTTATTCTAACTCCTCTCTTTACCTATTTTACTTACCATATCTTACCCACTTAGCAAATTCTGTCAGCTCTACTTTCAAAATATCTTCTCTACCTTCAGATCAGGATTCTGACTACTTTATACCACCTCTACTGCTATCTTTTAGCCCAAGAAACTCATTTCTGGACTACTGCAACAGTTTCCTAACTGGACTCCCTGCTTCTGCCCTTACCTTTCTTTGCATAATCTATCCTCAACCTAGCCAAGTCAGAGGGATCATACCACTCCTCTGCCCAAACCTTTCCTACAGCTTCCAATCTCAGAGTAAGTAAAAGCAATGGTCTCTACAACTGCTTACAAACTAGCACAGCAACTAGTTCTCCATTACCTCTTGATGACATTTGTGATTACTCTCTCTCTTTCTCACTCCACACAAGTCATTATGGCCTCCTTGTAGGTCCTCAAACACACCAGGTCCTCTTGTCTCTGTCTTCTACACAGTTTGGTCTCTCACCTCCTTTAGTTCTTTGTTCAAATGCTACTTACTCAGACAGGCCTTCGTGACCACTGTTTGAAATTACACCTTGCCCCTGGCCTTACCTAACCCTGTCCTCTTCTGTATTTTCAACTTTCTCCACAGCACATATGACTACCTAAATATTACATATTAGTTTTTGGTCTTCCCCTACCAGAATATAAACTTCACTAGCACAGGTATTCTTGTCTTCCTTTCCACTGGTGTACCCCCAATGCCTATAAAAGTGGGTATTCAATGACTTTCTTTTTTTCAATGAGTCATTCTTTCCTAAATTAAACTATCAAACCTATTTCAAAACAAACCCAAAACTCACATATATTTTGCTTTAGTATTTATAGTCAATCTATTTTCAGCACCTAGGACAGCACCGCCAAAGTAAGGTGATATTTTTGTTGACTGGCTGGGAGTTAGGATGGTGAAAGATAAGTTATATAAGCTTATAAAGATTACTTTGGTTAAACAGTCATTGCTTTGGTTAAAAATCAATATTTATTTTCCCAAACATTACAATAGCTGAAAAACCACTCCTCGGCACGATTTGTCAATCTATCATTGTAGAAAGTTTTAATTATTTAGAAGCACCACCAGAATTCAAAGGACCCCTGGTGGTGCAGTGGTTAAGTGCTCGGCTGCTAACCGAAAATGTTGGCTATTCGAACCCACCAGCTGCTCCGCTGGAGAAAGATGTGGCAATCTGCTTCCGGAACAATTACAGCCTTGGAAACTCTATGGGGGCAGTTCTACTCTGTCCTATAGGGTCACTGTGAGTCAGAATGGACTTGATAGCAGTGGGTCAGTCGACCAGAATTCAAGATCTTTCTAAAATTTATATCATTCAGTCTTTTATGTAGTGCTTTTAGTTCAGCTTTTCTCATTCACACTAGGGTAAAATAAACCTTAGTTAAGATTTTAGGTTTTTAAAAGTATTACATTCAAATACATTGTTGTTGGTGGCTGCCATCGAATGAATCAATTCCGACTCATGGTGACCCCTTGTGTACAGAGTAGAACTGCTCCACAGTGTTTTTAAAGCTGTGACCTTTCAGAAGCAAATTGTCAAGCGTGTCTTCCAAGGCCCCTCTGGGTTGATGTGAACCACCAACATTTCCTTTAGTAGTTGAGTGCTTAACTGTTTGCACCATCCAGGGACTCCAAGTACATTAACAACAACAAAAAAACCCAAATCCCCATCAAGTCGATTCCAACTCATAGCGACCTTATAGGACACAGTAGACCTGCCCCAGAGAATTTCCAAGGAGTGCCTGGTGGATTTGAACTGCTGACCTTTTGGTTAGCAGCTGTAGCTCTTAATCACTATGCCACCAGGGTTTCAAGTACATTATATACATTTAAATACATGTAGTCAAGATACTGATCCATGTACTTCTTAACATATTTTGGGCAAAACAGCCCTTTGAGAAAGATATTGACTCTTCTTAGAAAACAATATGTGAACATACATTTGAACTCTTGCCTACAATTTTGTAGGATGTAGAGTCCCCTAAAGTCTAAGGACATATCCTTAGGCTAATAATCAAATTAAGTAAAATTATAACTTAAAATAGAATCGAGTATGAGTCATAGCAATTAACATTCTTTATATGCAATGTCATTCTGATCTCATTCTCTTGGTGTTGAAGTGGTATTCATGTTATATTCTTTTGCTCTTTAGACAAAAATTTGATCTTGTACCTCAATATCTGCTCGTATCATTTAAAAATAAACTACTTGAACTAGAAGTATTCAAATGCTATCTTACTTTCCAAATACTGCACCCATAAAAAAAGCTTATTTTAAGTTTATACACATTTGATTTTTTTTTATATTGAAATTTATCTTTTATTTTTAGCAAATAATCATTTAATTTTTACCTCTAGTAAGAGGAAAATGGAGCCTTGGTGGTGCAGTGGTTAAGCGTTCTGCTGCTAACCAAAAGGTCGGCAGTTTGAATCCATCCACCAGTCACTCCTTAGAAACCCCGTGGGGCAGTTCTACTCTGTCCTATAGGGTCTGCTAACAGTTGGAATCGACTTCATGGCTATAGGTTAAGAGGAAAATAAGAAGCCAGCCAAGACAAAAAAAAGCCAAACCCGCTGCCGTCGAGTCAATTCTGACTCATATCGACCCTATAGGACAGAGTAGAACTGCCCCATAGAGTTTCCAAGGAGCGCTTGGTGGATTCAAACTGCTAACCAAAACAGCTTTTAACCACTATACCACCAGGGATTCCAGCCAAGGGACCCTAATTTAAAAATATACAACCCTTTCATCTTCCTGGTGGTCAAAATGTTTATTACACCACATGAGCTCCTCGAAGAGTTTGTTACCAAACAGAGAAAATACTGACATAAAGAGTCTGCAAAAAGAGAAACTAAGTATCAACAATTAACACTGACCTGCAGCTGCATCTGCAAGTTGTGAGTGAGGCACTGTCTGTGACATTCTCTGACTCTTCAAAAATGAAAAGAAATGTCTCCATAGTGCACTGGCAACAGCAGCAAGGTGGCGCTCTTTAGCCGATAATGAAGACTGTACAACTAGGTCCACATTCTCCGTTTGAAGTTCCTGACACAATTGTTGACGCATACTCCTAAAAAGAAATAAAAATACAGTTAACACCCAACAAATGCTTAGGGGACTCTTCTTTAAATACATTTTGGGCTTTTTTTATTTATACCATATGAAAACTGAAGGGCTGTTTTATATAATTAAAACCTTTATGCCAAGACATTTTATGCATCTCTGTTATTTGATGGATGAATGATGGCATATTAAGCACCATAAAGTTAATGTTAATTACTAATGTCAACCATTAATTATATGCTTTTTAATATGTCAAATCCAAACGAGAAACAGGCAGCCTCAGAATGAAGGTCTGCATTTTGCAATGTTAGTATGACAAGTAATTTTCTTATAATCTAGACATGAAAATAATTTTTAAATCATTTTCTTCTGAGAGTTTTAGGACGTGGATTTATAACAAGAGGAAATTAAGTACAAGTGGCTTATGTGTGGTATTTCAAATTAAAATATTTTCCATGTTTAGAAAAAATACAAGCGTAGTGCTAGTATACAAAACAGTGTCCAAAAACATGCATAATCATTTTCATGTAGTAGACAATAACAATAAAAAGTTACCTGTCTCCATAAAATAATACATGATTCAATACTGCTTCAAATTTTGATTCATCATTTACTAACCTTTTCTGCTTCATTCAACTGAAAATTTAGACATTAATAGAAACATGTCTGCAGGAAATTGAGATTACCAACGTAAAATGGGGTAATACTACCAGATTTTCCTAGTAATCTGAAATAGAAAACATTTATATAATGCACCCAGAATAATGATTATTTAAAACTAAATGTACAACCATGTAATTATTCTTGTTTATTTTTAAATTGCTGCCACCTCAATTGAGAATAGACATAAATGCAAGGATACCATCTTTACATACGCTTTGTTCAGTTTTACAGAAAGCAGGAAAAATAACCAATGGAGCTAAGGCAGAAGATCCTTCAACAGTAATAATATTCCATTAAGAAAAAAATTGGTACTTAAAATAAGAAATGTTATATTAATTCCAATAATCTTGCTGTTTTAAAATAGTTTATCTAGAGGAAGTGGAAACTGAAAGGACTGGACAAAACAGAGCTAACTAGTACATGTACTGAAAGCAATTCTACAGAAAGATCAAGCTTGTCTTAGTACATTTCAAATTTACATTTACACACAGGTGAGCAAAAATTATAAGCATAAACTAATAAAACATTAGGACCCTGAGCCCCTTTACATTGCAATTCTCGGATAATCATTGGGCTCTGATTAATACTACCTGAAGCAGCAAAAATAAAAAAAGGGTACAAATACCAAGGGAAAGAAAATAATAGTAAGCAATTCTCAAAAAAGCTAACCAAATATCTACTATGTCTTCTCTGTGTAAAAACATGCTTGAGACACTTTCAACTTGAACTAGTGACTAGAGTACCATTTCAGGTGCTTTAGGTTTGAGTAGGATTAATATTAAACCACTAAAACCCATCTGGCAACTACCTCAACTGCCTACCATCAACATAGAAAAGTTCACGAGTACATTTCAACACCCTGAACTCCAACTAAAATAATACCACCATTCTCCCTACCCTTTATAGCTTTTTCAAAGTATATTGGTTTTAAAAGATAATAAATAACACTGTACTTGGGGAGGATGGATTTGGCACCTCACTATTTCTAAATACGCCATTTTCTTCACTAACTAAAACCTATTCCCTAGGAAGGGGTAACACTTCTGATCATCCTCTATGTGCTAGAAATTCTCTTATTTAAAAATCAGAAAATCCCACGAGATGGGTATCATTAATCTTCTTTATAGATGATGAAGCAAAATCAGAACATGTGTATGAGATGATGAAGCTGATGACAGGAACGTAAAATCATACACCCAAAGGTTACCTGGTTAGAAGGACTGGACCCATCATCTGAACCATATCAGACTCTGGAGCCCATACTTGCGTCTTATGCACTAAGAGACACATATGTACACATACGAAAGTTCTAAAAGGATTAAAAATTGATAAAGTTTCTTCTCTCCCTACTTGGGTTAAAGAAATTCCAGCACACCTAAGAAAGAAAAAGAACTGGGAAAGGCACATGTAGCTTTGCCTTTTGAAAGCCAAGGGTAAAACTAGAATTCAATACTAGGAAAGACTACAAGAAAAGACACCAGAAAAAATGCTTGCAAGGCAATATTGAGAAAGTCCAACAAATATGAATCATCTTTGATCTCTCCAGAATACAATATCAGGGATTATAACCAGGAGTTACTGCAAAGGTATGATTCAGATCTCTGAAAAAACAAACCGTTAGGAAAAATTTAAAGCTAGAGATTACATCCTCTGAGGTAGAGTTCACACAGCAAAAACAAGTTTCAAGTAAGTTTGAGACACTGACTTGAACACAGACGTGCTTTGGAAATGTGCATCTGCTTAGTATTTTGGATTTGAAAAAGAAGCTATATACTCTGTGAATACGTAGAATACTTTCTGCTCGATGTTTTAATGTTCAAGCTATATTATTCTGGATACGAATGATTATCTGCTTAGTTTAACACAGAATAAAGCTCTTTAAGACCTTATAATAATTTCTCTAAACATGAAGAAATCAGAGTGACAAATGGGAGTCTCCTCAGAGAAAATCAAATTTCTACACTACAGCCAAAATAGTCAGAAATACCCCTTGCAGTCACACGTAATTTTTTAAACTATATTTTCTGGATCAAAAAACTAATTAATTATACGAAGACTATTGAAAAATAAATTTATTATATTACATGTAATCACTGCATAAGGCACATTTACAAAACTGGAAATATTAAAAGAAGACCTGTCACTAGTGGTAATAATATAAAAGAAAACACAAAACATATATGGAATATTACGTTGTTGTTGCATGCTGTCAATTCCAACTCATAGGGACCCCATAGAACAGAGTATAACTGCCCCATAGGGTTTCCAAGGCTGTAATCATTATGGAAGCAGACTGCCACATCTTTCTCCAGAGGAGCAGCTGGAAGCTTCGAACTCCCAAACCTTTCAGTCAGCAGTCGAGCATTCAACTATATTATAAGGAGTATAATATAGTTCTGGACGTCATAGTTATTTTATGAAACATTATCTACCTACTTCAACAAACAGTAGAAAAATATGAAAGTAGATTTGTTGCACAAAGGGTAAAATGTGATTTCTGGTCAGAAACTAAAAGAAATATCATAAGAAACACGGAATCTCCCAACACTTGGTAAATGTTTTGTTTAAGTGAAGACAGATTTAACATGGGTTAAAATCAAGTTTGGAAATGTAGACATGAAAATACACATGCATAATCAGGCCACTTAAATTCTAAAAGATGCAATATAGCAGAAAATAAAGTTTGCTGAATGTTAAGTTATTCAAATTGCAGTTCTACAGTGGAAACAATAGCAACATCCAGCATTTATTGGTACTTACCATGTGCCAAGCAACCTGCCAAGTGTTCTATAAGCATTATCATCCTATGAGGTAGGCACAATTATTATTCAAATTTTATAAATGAGGAAATCCAAAGAAAAAAGCACTTTGCGCTAGATAACACAGCTGGTCAGTAGCAGGGCTTCTCAGAGGTGTGTGGCCTTGGAAAAACGGGTATCTCCCAAATCCGCTTTGCTTAAGAGTCAAGACAGGAACAATTTTTGCTACATCCACCTAACAAGGTTTTGTAAGGATCATATGAAATTAACGTCCTTGAAAGTGTTTATAAACCTATCATTACACTATCTAAATATTCAAATTTTTTCATACCTAATTATCCAGGTCTTCTTGATGCTTCTATTTTAGCTCTGTTATCCTGGTTCCTTTGGCTTGCCTCATTATGCTTAAGAGCTCTCCTGATTCCTGCATGTGACTATTCTTTTGCCTCACTTTCTAAGATGTTTTCCTCTTTTTATCTGTCCATCTTGTCTTGCCTTGATTTCACATATTCATTTATCCATCTCCATGCACATACAGATACACGAATGTACTGAGGCATCTATCCCTTGAGAGGTACTGTAACCTGTACCTGACCACTGCTACCTGGCAGCCTGGTCTCTGAGCTACTGCTTCTCCCTAATAACTTGGGCAGGCTCTGGAACTATCCTGGACTATTGTTTACAGGTTTAAGCCTTGTTTCTCCTATAACTGATAATTATGGAATAAAGTATAACATTCTGTAAATCACCTCCTTGGTATTCATAGTTGTTTATTTAATATTTCTAACATATTATGCATCAAAATTCAAAGAAAAGAAAAATTGTCTATTAATGGACCTTGCATCACATAGAAAATGCATAGTATAAAAGAGTTAACAGAAAGCAAGAGATTAACAACAATGAATAAATGAATTCATTTTAGCTCTACTCAAAACCTGGTAATTTTCTTCAATCTGTATTAATAAAAAATATAATTAGGAAGTTCTAAGTAAAAAGTTGTTCCAAACCACTGTAAGTAATTATTCCAAGTATCTTATTGATCTATCTACTTAAAAACTAACTGGGAATCAGGATATTCAATGATCATTTTTTAGCTTCAGCTAAACACACTAAAAAACCTTTACGTACTTTAGATCCTCGTCATACTTGTTCATAGAGGTATAATCTGCCTTATTACCAAAAAAGAATATAACATAACCAAGGTAATGACATTACTAGAAAAAAGAATCAAAAGTTTTAAAGCTGGAAGTTACCTTAAAAATTATCTAGTCTAACCCCTTTCTCAAAAAATGAGAAAAAAAATCAAGCCAAACCAAAACAACCCTCAGTTATAAAGAGACCTCCACAAAGCCTCACTATGAGATAATGGTAGCTTGGGTCTGACTACCAATCCTGTGCATGCCCAAGTTATCAGAGAGAAGCGACAAGCTAGAAACCCAGGCTGGCAAGCAGCAGAATGGGCATACCTTGCAGTGCCTCCATGTAACATGTCTCACTACATTTGTGTGTCTGTGGACAAGGGGGTGAGTGGATGGTGGACGAATGAGTGAATACATGAGATCAAGGCAAAGAGGTTCGTTGGCTG